ATTTGTTTAGTAAAATATGCAGTCTCCATGTTCAAATCTACCTCGTTGCTTTTCAACACAATGTAATAATTTTCCACTGTAGGGATGTATCATAATTTACTTTTTCTATCCATTACAACCAGCAGCTGGATTGCTTAAGACATCCCACTGAATATAAATCTTGGTGTACTTTCCTGTGTATTAGCAAAAATAGAGTATTAAAAGTAGAATTGCTGGTCAAAAGGTAGGTGCATTTTGTATTTCATGATTCACTTATTGAAACGGAGTATATGGCCTGTTGGAGAGGCTGCAGTACAGGCTGTGAAGTCAGAATTTCTGTACACATCCAGCTCTACCTCTTACGAGCTGGGTACACTGTCTGTAAATGGGGCATTGTGAAGATATGTATCTTCGAGAGGTTGTGATACTTAAATAAGATGCACTTTGAACAGTTAATTATGTAAATGGCAGTTCCTGTTGAGATTATCATTACCATTATCTATCTCTGGGTCCTCTGAAGCACTCACCATGGTGCTTAGAACCTAGATGTCAGATAATACCAGAATGAGTGGAGGAATGCAAGAATGAGTGAAGACAGGAGCTAGCCATGGTGCCCTGGCAGTTCTCCTGCTGTAAATACTGCCTTCCTCCTGTTCCTGGTCAAGCACCTTCCTGGTAGGAAGGCGTAGAGCCATCAGCACAGTGCAGCTGCCTTGCGGCCTTGATAATTTAACCCTGCTTTTGTCTGTTTTTGTGTGGGTGTGGGTGTGTTGAATCAGCAGTCACCAGTTCTTGGAAGATCATGCAACAAATGTCCATGAAAATATGGACTGAGGCCCCCAGTATCTGCTCTAAAATGCCAGGCAGGTGAAATACAAGCATGTTCTGTATACTGAGATGGGACTGGATTGTGATAGGTCTCTGTGACTGTGAGGAAATAAGATGAGGTCTCTTTAAAGAAGGGAGGAAAGGGTAGATGATGGTATAATAGACTAAGCTCTCAGATTTGTCTTCCTGACTCTACAAATCCAGATTAGATCTTTAGCCATGCCAAATAGAGACACAAGTGGTTCAAGGTAGGAATTGAGTAATTTCAGCAAAATAAATTTAGTTCTTGTTTCTAACTCAGTGACCTCACCCAGGCTAAAGGCTAGTCAACCTGTTGTGAAGAGCCTGCCAGAACTGTGGTGAGGACTGGAAGGGGTGCATCTGCAGGTAGCCTGTCCACTCTCTGCAGCAGAGGTAGGTGGCTGTTACAGCTGGCACTGGTGGGAGTCCAGGGTGGTGCAAACTAGTCACTTCAAAGTCAGGGAGAAAGAAATAGAAGGAAGAGACAGGACCCCCAGACCTCTTTAAGGGCACAACCCAGGGTCCTAAGGCTGTCCTACTGCTGCCCACTTATTCACAGGGACACTTATCCAAACCCTAGCATAACCCTGCATAAATATAAAATGGTCAGTCTATAAAATTAGATGTAATTTCATTTGTTAGTGAGGAAATCTATAAAAAGACAAAACAGCTTCTAAGAGTATTTGATAAAGTTTTTTTTTTAACTTGTGATATATTGGGAAAAGTTGATTCAAAATATTAGAATAAGATTATGAGACTAGAAACAATATTGCTTAACAATATTGCTGATCTGAAGAAATTGCAGCCCAAACTTCTGGAGTTTTTCAAACCTAATAGGAATCTACACATGAACCTGTAGTTCCCCAGCTTCTGAGCTCTAGTTAAATAGCAAGGAGCATGCCCAGCACAGGTCTGCACTGAGCACTGCCCCACGGTGTTCTAGGCCTCTACTTCTTGTTTAAATTGTGCTTCTTATCTTGCAAAAGGTTTGGTGGGGTTCTATCATGGTGAGAAGTGGTCCCTTGGGGAGGTGGTATGCAGAAGCAGAAGTGTTTGAAGTTCTGAGGAAACCTATGAACCAAGACAGAAGAGGGTGTATTGCCTTTGGAGCCTCGCTGAGTCCAGAGTGGACCATGGGCAAGACAGGGACAGAGAGCCTGGGAAGGATGACTTGGAGTAGTGCCCATAAGGAGGGAATGAAGAGAGACAAGGAGTGTGTGGTGGGGGGGGGGGCACTGACAGAGCACAAAGGAGGTGGAACTGCCACCCACAAGATGAAAAAGAGGGCAGAAAGTTTAGGTTGGCCCCCTGGGAGCTGGCTATGTCCCTGCCTGTTTCCCAGAGCTACCTCCCTGCTCACTGACTCCCTGCAGTGAGTCATTCCACCCTGCAGGCTGCTCACCTGCTTGGGAGGTACAAGAGCACCAAGCAGAGCTCAGATCCTCAGCCAGGCCTGGCAGTGGTGGAAGGAGATGCTGCCAGCAGGGTGGTTCAAATGGGATTTGAAAGCTTTGAAAATAAATAATAGTGGGAACTGGGTAGTCTGGAGGCTAATTTGGGGAATTCAAACATTTGGCTTTTAATGTATTTTTTTTAAAAAATGGATGAATTATTCACATTCACATAGTTGAGATTCTCATATATCAGAGAACTAAATGAAAACCTGATTTCATCTTTTAAAAGCTAGCCAGAGCTGAGAAGGGCCTGCTCTCCTAGGGCAGGAACCAGGGCCCTGCTCACATAGGTCCCTGTTTAGCAGATGGCCTGTGGCAGTGGCCTGCAGACCAGCAGCCCTGCCTACTTTAAGATGTTCCTTTCATGAAGCCATGGAAAGAGGATGTTTCCTTAGCCTTTTGTCCCCAGGGTTCAGTGCAGGTGCTCTCAGGAATCAGATGCTGCATACAGGAGTTCAAGGCATGGCAGGTTCTTGAGATCCACTGAGTACCCAGCAGCAGCCCCCTCTCCATCAGCAAGGAGAGGAAGATGATGCTGCTGTGCTAAGAACTGGAAATGATCTCTAGAGACTACCTGTCCCACTGCTTGAGTGTTCAGGTGGGAATATCAGGGTCCAGAAAGGAGGCAGTGTTTGTGCAAGGTTGAACAGCAAGTCACTGCTGCCTGTGATATTCAGGCTTCCTGGGTGTTGAGTCCCCAGCAGATCTGATCCCTGGATTGTGAAGGACTTTGTCTTTCTCAGCCACCTCCTCCATGTTCCCACATGATGTGGGCCTTGTGCACAGAGGCTTCAGTCCTCTGAGCAAAACCTCCCACCCAGGGCTGTCAAGGCCAGAGCCCTCTCCAGCCATCAAAACATGGCCACCTTCCTACTGCCACCCCCACAACAGCTCATTCACAGTAATTAATGGCCTCTCAAGTGGGTGATTTCTCCTCCCTCTCACTCACCACACAGTCAGGTAGGCAAGGGGAATGTGGTTGGTGCCTCTGGTAATCAAAATGAAGGGTTTTTGTACTGTCCGGATAATGAATTCTGCAAGGGTTTGAAGTGAGGGGCTAGGGGTCTCCATGTCATGTGTCAGAGTGACAATCTCGAGGGGTTAATTACTGCCATTTTGTTTCCAAGCTGGTAACAAAGTGAGATAAGTTCATTATGAGCTAAATTTGAAGTTAATTGGATACACACACACACACACACACACACACACACACACACCATTAGTGCACATGCAGCCAGCTTACCTAGAAATGGGGTGCATGGAAGACAAAAAGTTGCATCTAGGAAAGAATTGATAAATCAGGCCCAGTTGTAATTGGAGTTCATGAAAAGGTATTTTCTGAGATGTTGGTGAGGGAGAACCATAATTCCGTCAAATGAGCAGAATCAACACCACTTGATTAATGTCATCTTGGCAGATGTTTCCTAAGCACTTGTTATGTCTTGGGCCAAGAGAAGAGAGGGAGTGATGGGAGTAGATGTTCATGTCTTGGAACATCCAGCAACAGGAGTGGACAAATGACCCATGTGTTGGAGGAATGTGGCAGACCTGGTGCCGGAATTCCTGGGTTTGGATGTGGCTCCATTTCTTACCAACTGTGGTAACATGGGCAGATGTTTAATCTGTGTAGATTTTAGTCATCACATCTATAAAATGGGGATAATAATAGAACTTGTTTTATAGAGCTGTTGAGGTTGAGTCAGTATCTACAAAGCACAATAAATAGTATTTGGAATCCAGCTCTGTGTTTGAGCCATGAGGCATCCATTAAGTGTTACAAAACTGTTAGCCATCATTCTTATTATCATCGGTGTGACATGGGGCACATTGATAGCTTGGCACCTTCATTCCCTCTTCTGTCAGATGGGCATAATACCAACAGACACCTAGTGATTCTATTCATCTTTTGAACTCCCCAAATGCATATATCTCCAGGGGTCAATAGGCTGCTTTTGCCTCTTTCTTACTGTTGTTCTTCCAAAGCTTTCAGTGAGTCCTTAACAGAACCTGACCTTGGACATCACTGAGGGCTCTGACCTGTGATCATGTGGACAATGGAAATCTACTGTAGAGGTCTAGGGAGGTCAGTGTTTAGCTCCCAGGTTCACTTGCCCAGACTTTGGCCTCCTGATGTATAGCTGCCTAGTATTCCATGGTGCACATTGTTGCCAAATTCCCTGTGTTTGACATTTAGATATTTGCTGATATTTTATGGTTTTAGATAATGCTGCTGCAGTGAAAACCTTGTGTATTTATATTTGATATTGTTGAAGATGTATGCATCTTAAGATGTAAGTCTGTAGAAGCAGGATTGCTTATTCAAGGGGTAAATGCATGTATTTTTTCGATGCTGCCAAATTCCCCATGTTAATTTGCAATTCCAGTATATAATGAAATTAAATTTCTTTTCAAATAATTTAAGGATATATAATTTAAGCATATCATGAATATGAAGAGGGAGGGGGAAGGAGACAGACAAGAGAGAGAGAGAGAGAGAGAGAGAGAGAGAGAGAGAGAGAGAGAGAGAGAGAGAGAGAACCAAAGTATATATACACTTTAGGGAAGAAAAAACTTGTATACATATTTTAACTCTAAATTTATTGAGATATCATCAGATTAATAAATTACCTTTGGCCTCTGCAATTACACCTTAATGCTCAAAGTGGAGGCCGTTAGCTTCCAGGCATTTATTAGTATGGTGAGTTGCTGCTTGGGTACCTTGGTCACTGAGATTGCTGCACTCGCTTTTCCAGCTTCTTCCCTAGGGTCTGGCAGAGCAGTGGAGTTCCGTGATGTTCGACATCCTCCAGGGTTCCCCATATGAGGGTTGTTCCATCTGTTGAAAAAACATTCTATTTTCCTTTTCCTGGAGTGTGTATGCTTTGTTGGTGGAGTCTATATATGGAAAGAGTAAGGGTTTATATTCATGTACTTTGCCCATTTTTTTGCAACATTATTTTTGGTCTTTCCCTTCAATTTTTGTAAGTTCATGATACATGGGAATAATGATCCTTTATCTATGGTATATGCCTCAAGTAATTTCTCCCAATTTGTTGTTCACCATCTGTCATTTGACTTGTCTATTATTTTTATCAGCTAAACTTTTTTTTTTGAATTTAAAAGGAAAAAGAGAATAAAACAAAAGAAAACAAAGTGGTGTAAGGGTACAAGTAATACAGAAAGAACTACAAAATAAACAATAATAAATCACAGGTTAATAGATTACACATTATAAGTGGACATTCAAACACCTGAATGGTTTTGTTACATGTCAACTGCTTTTTATAGCATCCTTTTCCCCATAAAAATAAATCTATGCAGCTTAAAAACATATTTAACATTATATCATTCCAGTGTGATTGGTGTCAGATTACTATTTCTTTTTCAAGATGATGGTGATAATAAATAGATGGCAATTTTTCAAGTAGTAAAATTACTGGAATATAATTCATGTGCCATAAAATTCATCCTTTTCAAGTGTACATACAATTCAGTAGTTTTTAGTATGACAAATTTGTACAGCTGCTGCCAGTCACTTTGGGATACTTCCTAACACAGCTCAAAGGGAGCCACATCCACTATCAGCCCCTTTTCCTACTGTCTGGTACCCCAATTCTCTGATGACCACGAATCTACTTTTTGTCTGAAGACTTGCCTATTCTGGATGTTTTACATGAATAGATTCATACTTTTGTTGCTATGTGTGATTGGCTTTTTTCACTCAGCATAATCATTTCAAGTTTATTCATGTTGTAGCATGTGCTAATATTTTATACCTTGATATTGGCAAATATTCTGTATTCTTTATCCACTAATAAGATGATGGGAATTTCAGCAGTGTCCACTTCTTAGCTGTTATAAACAAAGCTGCTATGAACATTCGAGTATCAGAGTTTGTGTGGACATTTGGTCTCATTCTCTTGGGATACACATAGGAATAAAAATGCTGGGTCGTATGATAACTCTACATTTCATCTTTTGACAGCTACTGTTCTTTTCCAGAGTGGCTGCACCATTTTGTATTCCTACTGGCAATGTGTTAGGGTCCCGATTTTCTCATCTTTGCAAAGATTTTTCTAATCTAGCTTCTTTATTATAATCATTGTAGTGAGTGTGAAGTGATGTTTCATTGTGGTTTTGACTTGTATTTCCCTATTGACTGATGACATTGAATATCTTTTCATGTGCTCGCTGACCATTTCATTTATTCTTCCAATCCTTTGCTCATTTTAACTTGGTTTGTTAGCCTTTTTATTATAAGCTATAGGAGAACCTTATATATTCTAGGTACAAGTGCTTAATCAGATGCACAATTTGTAAATGTTTTCTCCTGTTTTGTGGGTCATCATTTTACTTTTCTAAGTGCCCTTTGAAGCGCAAAAGGCTTTCCATGAGTTCGATTCCTTTTTCTTTGTTGTTGTCATACCTAAGAAACCAGTGCCTAACCCAAAATCATGAATATTCATGCCTTATTTTCCTTCTAATAATTTTATAGTTTTAGGGCTTACATTTAAGTCTTTGATCCATTTTTCTTTAACTTTTACAAGAGTGTGCACTGGAGTTTGCAGCATCATAGAAAGTTTTTCTATCAGGATTATGCTAATTTGGTGAAATGGATTAGGAAGAGTTTCCTGGACTTATATATCCTAGGAAAGTTTAATAACAGGAGTATATGTCCTTTAAAAGATTTGCCCCAAACAAAAACAATAAAAAAACTTAGCCAAGAAGCTAAGTGCATGAGACACTTGTTATTTAAAAAGCATTTTATTCACTTTCTTCCAAGGTTATTGGGCTGTTATTTTTGTGTTTTGAGACAAAGTCTCATCAGATAGTCCAGGCTGAGCTTGAACTTGCTTTATAGCCCAGGCTGTCTTCCACTCTGTGGCAATCCTCCTGCATCAGCACCCCGGAGTGCTGGAATTCCAGGCATGTGCCACCATGCCCAGCTCTAAGCTTATTTTATTACTTGTTCTTGAGTTGATTTTGATAATATAGTTTCCAGATAAAGTACTGTGGAGTATATGTTCTCTTTTTTATATTGTCTCATCTGTATTTCTGGTTATATTTTCTTATTTGGGCCTCTTTTACAAATCTTGATCTATGTTTATTGGTCTTTTCAAATAACGATTCTTGATTGTATTTATTCTGTCTGCTTTTCTGTTTACCCAATTCCTTATTTTTTGCTTTTTCTTTATCAAGTCCTTCCTCTTTCCTTCCCTTTCCTGGATTCATTTTATTGCTTTTTTATCTAGCTTTCTAAGTCAAGTGCTTTGGTGAGGCTCTAAGTTTCTGAACCTTTGCTTGAGGGATCAAGGTTTTAAGGTCTGTGTTACAATAGAGGAAACCGTTGACCAAACACCCTGCTACCAAAACCAAAGGACAGCCCTTGCTAAAGAAGAACCCGTTGCCAAGGAGCAGGAGAACTGTATGCCAGGCCCAGCCTGGCCTCAGCTCAGCTCAGCCCTCAGGGGCAAGCCGCACTGCCCTCCCAGGCCATCTCCTGGGTGCCTGGGAAGCACGTGACCTTTGCATGGGCAGCTCCCTCCATGTTCCACCAGGCAGGCCTGTGTCTCCCTCTTTGATGCCTGTACCCCAACTCCCTTACCCATAAAATCTTGCAGTTGAGTTTTATTCTGCAAGATGGAGCCAACAAGTAATAGTGCCACTCTCCCTGCTGACAGGCAGTGAAGCATCTGGACCTGCAGCCAGAGCAGAGACAGTTCCACAAGCAAGGCAGTAGAGTGCAGGGTCAAGGAACATGGCTTGGATGTTGGATGACTCCTCTTTGCATCTCTGTCGGGCAGTGTGCAGCCTGAACAAGTCTTATTTTGTTGTAAAGAGAAAATAGTAACAGCACCTCAGGACAGGATTGTTGAGGTTTGAGGGATTTAACCATTGAAAACACCCAGGGGTGGGGGTGGGGATTTAGCTCAGAGGCATAGTCACCTGCCTTGTAAGCAGGCAGTGGTGAGTTGGATCCCTGGTACAGGTAAAAATGAAAAAGAAAAAAAGAAAAAACTCAGGACAGGGTCTGGTGTTTTATGATTCCTGTGTAAATGTTCCTAATTTGCAGTTGTTGTTGTTGTTGTTGTTGTCCTCATCAGCAATGTGAGCCTGGGGCTGGGGCCAGGTGGGAGGTGCTCCACTGGTTGGTGAAGGAGCAGCTCATCAAAGCAGCCCTGCCACTGGCTGTCCTTCAACCTGTCCACAGTCTGGCCACTGAGACCTCAGGTCTTAGTGCTTAGACTGTGATCAGGCTGCTTCCTCATATACCATTAGGATCCCTGACTCTCTCCCTGCAGCTGCTCTGATGGAGGCTGTGAACATGAGTACCCTACCACCACCACTATAGTGCTCTGAAGTCAGAGGAGGGTCTGGCTGATGTTAGGAAATTTGAACAGAGAGGCAACCTCTCTGCCCTGTCTCTGTGGGAACTGAGTCCATTGCTCCCTTGTTTTATGTTAGGAATCAGTTTTTCCATCTGCAAAATGGAAACAGGGCTTGGGGCCAGAAAGCTCTCCTCTCCCACTTTTTGCCCTGATCCCTCAGCATGGCTGAAGGGGAGAGTTATGGGCTCCTAAAAGCTCCACCTTCTCTAACAGGACCACTTCTCCATTCACTTAGCAAACCTTTTAGGCTTACTGAATTCTGGCCTGATCCCTAGAGATAAAGTGGTGCTACCAATGGCTGTGGGTGTTGGGTTGGCAGAACATAAAAAGGGAGGCCGAGGAGGACTAGTTACAGCAAGCTTCTTTAACGCACCTTGTGAGCAGAGTCAGTTCTGCTGACTTGATTTTCCTATTTCAACGATGCTCTCATGAAAAGTCAGAACAGCTGTAGTGCATGCTGGTCATGGGGAAGAACTGAGGGCTCCCGGACCTGCATCCTGGGGCATTTGCTCCCCTGTAAATGCCTCAGGTGAGGGCATGAGTCAGAGCACCTTGTCCAAAGCTGGGGAGGTGGTGAGCAGGAAGAAGGCTCCTTCTGCTCCTTCACTAAACAAAGGACAGCTCTGGGACCAGGTAGGAAGATGTCAGTGAGGGGCCAGGGCTGAGGCAGAGGATTGAGGCAGGGATGCCCCTCCCTTCTGCTGGCTGTCCAAAGGACAAGGGGGCAGCTTGGTCTTTTGAAGGCAGTGCTATCAGAAGCTTCTTGGTGGCTGCAGAGCTGTCCAAGTTGTGCTGGAGTAGAGTTCCCTGGTGTTTGCCAGGAGCTTTGCAGTTCCACCTTCCTGGTTTCAGAGCAGAGCCTTGGCTTGCTTCTGGGTAAGTGGAGCTGGCAGGGCTGGCAGTGTATGTGTGAGCGTGGGCTTGCACAAGTAGTGGGGCAGGGCCACATTGGCACTTAGCATCTGCACATGACAAGTGGCTGGCTGCAGATACTCACCCTATGATTTGTTGCTTTGATTTCTTAGGCTGAAACTTGGCAAGCATGACCCTCCCTGGATACCCTCCATGGGACACCTTACCCCCTCTATACAGGGCAGCTACTCAGCACCTTACCTGACAGGGATGGTGCCTGTTGAATCTGCACTATCTGCTCTCCTCAGCAGGCAGTGGATGGAGTTCTATGTGGGGGAATCCTGCCAACAGCCCAGTGACCCCTCGGGTTCTCAGAAGCAGGCCTGAGTGAGTCAAGGGGAGATCTGCTCAGCTTCTTCCCTGCAGCTGAGTGTGCAGTGAGTGACATTTTGAATTTCAACAGAAAACGTCTTTGAAGCTGGGGCCAGCAAAGTTGGAGCAGAGGAGAACGTGGCCACTCAAAAATTTAGCCAAGTACTTCAAAAAGGAGCCAAGTAATTCATCCTAGACCAATAGGAAGCATGACTTGAGGAATTCCCAGAAATAGAAAATTCCCTCTTTCCCTGCAAAAGTGAAAAATACTGCTTTGGGAAGAGAGCCTCAGGCAATCCAGCTTAGTAATGACTACTAGGAAAGTCTTTCCTGAAGCTCAGCCTTCTGGGTACTCGCAGACCTCTGCAACCATAATGCAAGGAGTGCCCCCTACTGTTTGAGCTGGCAGCAGACCTTAGCATCATCTGAATGCAAGAGTTAGGAGGCTTCCCATTTTTCAGATGGCCCAGGATGCCAGGCAGTGTGTCCTGAGAGGCAGAGTGAAGTAGAGAGGCTGAAGCTAAAATCACAGTGGAGATGTCAGGAAGTTGGCGATGCGAGAAATCTAAATGTCAGCTAGGGAAAGCAGCATACTGAATTTGGGAAAAGCAGAAAGCAAGCATTCTATTATCTGGAACAAGACAACACAGTGCTGAAAATCCTGTAAGCAAAAACAGGGAAAAGAAAGGAAGGACATCCAAACTGCAAATGAGCAAGTCAGATTGTGACTGTGCACGGCATGGTATTGTATATAGAAAACCTGATTGGAGTAGAAACACCTAGAACAAATAAATTTGGCAACTTTGACTTTAGCCACAAAAGTTGAAATATGAAAACTAGTAGCCATTCTATATGCCACTAGCAAATTATCTGAAATAGAAATCAAGATAGTAATCTCATTTACAACAGCTACAAAATATAACTAGGAATAATTTTCATGAAAGAGGATATCTGTAATAAAATTTTTTGATGGAAAGTTGAACCTGCAAGTTCATTGTGAACTCAAAATGATGAAGAAATGGAAATAACCTGTATCCATCAGCTGATAGATGGTTCAGGCAGCACAGGAACACAGTGGAATATTATTTAGTCATAAAAAGAATGGTATGTTACTGTTTGTGATATCATGCATGGAAACAGAGAACATTAGTTTAAGTGAAATAAGGCAGATGGAAAGATAGCTGCTTCATGATCTTATTCCTCTGTTGCCTGTGAAAAAGTTTATGTTGAACTTGTGAACAGAGTACTGGTTACCAGGTATGGGCAACTAGGAAGGAGAACGGGTGAAGGTTGACCAGTGGGTCCTCAGTAGACAATAATTTTATTTACATAATTAGTTTTTGTACACTCCTACACAATAGTGATTATAGAGTATGTACTGCGTACTTCAAAAAGCTTCAAGAGAGGGTTTTAAATGATTTTAGCATAAGAAGTGAGTGACGGGGTATATTTATTTTGATTTCAGTATTATGCAGTTTATACACTTGTCAAACATCACATGGTTCCCCATTAATAGGTACAAGTTTTGTTTTTATCTATCAGTTCGAAAGTAAGTTTACTGGGCTGCCGATGTAGCTCAGTGGTACAGCGCCTGCCTGGCAAGCATGAGGTCTTGAGTTTGATTTCTGGTACCAGAACAAAACAACAACAAAGAAAATAAATCTACTGAAAGATGCCTCCAAATTAAAAAGGCATTAACTGTGCTTAGGTTTCTCCATGTCTTAGATGTCACTGACCATGTCTCAAATGTGCCTCCTTATCTCCCAGACCACTGCTGATTGTGAGGACAGTTATCTCACCTGTATTTTACCTCCAATTCCTCTGTAGTTTGAGTGCCTATAAACAAAAGTCTGGAAGAATCTGAAGTGGTAGGCAAGTCGGTCTGAGGGAGTACAAGGCCCAGTCATCCTTTCTCATTAACCGTGCTATTTTTACCTATTGAGGCTTGCCTGTGGCAATGGTGGACGGTGGCCTGGATGGCATGTCCAGAGGTGTCTGATGTGTCCAGAGCCATGCTCTCTTATTGAAAGTACTCAGGGCTTTGTCAGGCCTGGGAGGGTGGGGAGTGGGGTGTGCACAGAGAAAGTTTCCATTGAGTTGGAATTCTGTGTCAGAGCCCGGGGAGGCTGAGGGTTTCTTGCCAGTGGGTAAGTGTGCAAAGGGCCTGGCAATAATACAGAGTGTCTTGGAAGTCAGAATGGTGCCCGAAAAAAATGTCAGTGGGAGGCTGAAGAAACAGCCAGGGAGTACACTCTCCCTACCAGCATCTAAAGAAGCCTTTGATCTTAACTAAAGTAGATAATTAAATACAATCAGCTTATTTGCCTGGCAAACCATACCTTAGTTACGTGGGATTTTCTGTGGTTATGAAAAGTAAGCCTGAATACTATCAATATATACAAAAGGTACATGAAATAAATTTGCAAGGAAACCCGTTTCTTTCCATCTGATTCACAGTTGCCATCTGTGTTTCAGGAATGTGTCATGAGGCGTAAGACTTTAAATGAATCTCACTCAGGGCAGTGATGGCTGAGAATGGGCGGCAATGGTAAGGCAGAAATGCCACCTCCTTGGGCACAGTCCCGGTAACAGACACACAGCAGTGGCAGGAGAGGTGCTGGTGTTTCAGGGAGGCTGGTGAGAGGTGGGAGAATCTCTGAGCTGAGTTTAGGGTTAAGAAGGCGGGTGTATGGTGATGGAGTGGCCAGGGGAGCAGCAGCTTTCAGGGACCTGAGCCTGGCTTGAGCTGGGTGTGTGTGGCCCTGCTGCTGCTGGTGTGGCCAGGTCTTACAGAATCATGGTGTGCACATTGCAAGAGAAACAAAGGAAATGTATTGGTTGAATTTTTCAGGTGTTTCTATTGCAAATATTTGAAAACATGTCTTTTTAAGACTTTTTGCAAATTCCAAAGTCATGTTCCTTGTAGAGGTTAAGGAAAATATACTTGTTTTTGGTACCAAAATAATTTTTTTCCTTTAAGCAATCTATTTGCATGATAGTAGGAACCTGATTTTCAATTCAGATTTTTCTCACATGCCTTGATCATCAGAAGCCTTGAATAGATTTAAGACATACTGTCCTATTTCTTAAAATAAAACAAAAAAACCGAGACAGTTCTACTCACAGCTGAATTCCACAATTCTGTTGTTTCAGCTCAGTTTAGGTAGTCTTTAAAAATACATTTCATTGCTCAAATGTCACATTCAATGCTGTGAAACAAAGTAAAATGAGATCATTTTGTTATCTTAGCTAACAACAGTAACACCTCCAAAATCATTTTAACAAGGGATAATTGTGACAGGATATCATATCTGAAAAGTATTTTTGGTATTTATTCTTAACAGCTTCCTTTAATATCTCATTTTTTGCTGTACATGTCACAATTTTTTTTTTTTGCTGTACATGTCACAAAATTTTGAAGCCATCTTCCAGTAAATATTAGGACCTACCTAATCAGTATATTCTAGCATGTAACAAATTCTCTGTTCTTCACCATTATGGTGAAGACTAGCTACTGATTATACTAAACTCATCTTGTATATTTAAAGATTGCATTATTATAGGGAAAAATAAAAATAACTTAATATATGATTATTATTTACTTAACAAATATTGGCATAACATTTTTACAAATAAGTATGTACCTAGTAACAGCTAGTTCCATCTAAACTATTCCATTAAATCACTCCTAGAATTTAGTACTAAAATTCAAAACTGAAATTTAGCTAAAAATGTTACTAAGACATTTATTGTAAATTATAACATTTCTACAAGCTAAATTTCATTTAAGTGGTACAAGACAGTTTCATTAAAATGCATTTAAGTGGTAAAAGATAGTTTCATCAAATTAGAACCTAGCGTGTTAGCTGCTAGGATTTTGGAGATGAATAATTATAATAAAGAGATTAGTTTTTCTTAGTAGTCATTGGCATAAGAGCTTCACTGGATAATACACATCTTTTCTTTGTTTATTCATCTATTCAGCCAGTTAGTTAGTTCTGCAGAAGTTTAGACCCAGGGCCTTTGCATTAAGCTATATCCTCACCCCTTTTAAAAAAACTTTTGTCCTCTAAATTAGCAAAGTCAGGATTGGAACTTGGCTTGCTCTTGCTGCAGCTTGCCAGAGTGCTAGGATTACAGATGTGCATCATCACCTCCAGCTCATGCTTCTTCCTGTCCTCTGAACTGTACTTACACGCAACTCCTGTCCTTATTCAAACATCATTCTAAAGTAATTTAGAGTCAAAACAAAGGAAAAGTCAAATAATATAGACCAGTGCACTGATAAAAGGCTGTTTGGACACTATAACAAAGGCAGAAATAAGCCTTTACTAATGCACAGAAGCACTGTTTGTGGAAGATGAAACTCAGAAAAAGGTTAAATGACCAGTGAGTGAGGCATCACTCAAAACTGTTGTCCAAAGAATGCATAAAATATTTGTGACTGATGAAGAAAAGTGGTCTATTAAAATCAGGGTTCAGAAATCAGTGTTTTAAAGTTTGGCATACAGAAGCAAAGTTTATCAGAGAGATGAAAGAAACTGCATAGTTATTTTTCTAGAAAGATAAATGAAAGATCAAGTGACCAGCACCAGAAATAATTCTTTGAATGGAATGGCTCAGAAAGCTGATTATGTGAAACATATAGATTAAATTTTCCTTTTAAAGAGTGTTGCTTGTAAATCTTTGATATTTCTTGCAATAAAGTCAAGTGCATTAAAGAAATGATAACTTCAAAAGAAAAATGTTCAAAATTTTGCTGTCATGTATTTTGACAAGTTATGTGGTTCTATTTCTAGTAAAAACCAGGCGACATCTAACGACATGACACAATGAGATTTAGTTATTCAGAAAAAAAAATCTGCTACTTTGAAGATTCTAACATAAAGCTGAATTGAAAGTGTTTACCGGAAGTGTGGACTATATCGACTAAATTAGATCCATGATTCTTTTGTACTTAATTGCTGTATTTTTTTTTTTCAAATACAGGTCAAATTTATGTACTGAACACAATCCTGCTGTAAAGATATCAACATTTCCATGATCTTCAAGAATTTTATTCAGGGCTGGGGATTTAGCTCAGTAGCATAAGCACCTGCCTGGCAAGTGTGAGGATCTGAGTTTGATCCCTGGTATTGCAAAAAAAAAAAAAAAAAAAAAGAATATTCTTCTTCTTTTGTCATTATGTATTTATCTATACGAGGAAACAATCCTATAATTTCTATGACTAGTTTTTGTCTCTTTTTGAACTCCACATGAGTATAAGAATTCATACAAATCAAATAGTTCTACTACTTTTATTCACTATTGTTTGTGTGACTCTCTGTAGTTGTTTGTATAACTGATTAGAATTGAACTGATTAATTATATCACTTTTGTCTTTTTTACAGTAGATGGGAAGTTGGATGATTTACAGTTTTGTGGCATATAAACGAAAACTGTTGTAAACATTCTTACGTAATTTCTCATGTCACTTGGAAGAGCACTTAAGATTAAAAGGAAAATGAGTGCATATTTATTCTTATAATGAAATGTCTAATAACTTTTCAATGCAATTATGTAATTTTATAAGCCTTTCAGAGAACTCTGAAAGTATTGGTAGTTTTTATCTTCAAGATTGATTTTTATCAATGAATTTTTCAATATCCATTTGGATGATTTTAACTCAACCACTTTTCCAAGACAGTTGATATTAGTTTTCTAACGATGTATATCTAGTTGCATATTTTTACCATTTTTATGCTTAGTAATCTATTGCCTGTGAAATTTTGCTTAATCAGTATTATGGATACAAATATTATTCTTCTGTAGTATTTAACTTTACATTTCCTGTATTATGCAAATATTAAAGTTCACACCCTCCATGTACTGTCTTGAAAAGACATTAAATTTCTTATTGAATTTCCTTGGTGTCTTCATCAAATAATTCATGATGATATATACTTCTACTTTTGAACATTCTACTTTGTTCCACTGATCATTATTTTATTTTATCAGTTCTCTACTCTTTTAAGTTGTTATACTTTAAATGAGTTTCAAAGTAAGTTAATAGTAGCATATATTTCTAGCTTGGTGCTCTTCTCGATATACATATATATGGCATAACTTTTTATTCAACTAGTTTGCATTTCTATATTAATTTTCCAATCAACTAATTTTATGTCCCCTAACTTTTCTTATCAAGGTTTTATTTTGTTAAATCTGCACATTAAGAAATTACATCTAATAGATTCTTATGTCTTCCAAGTAAGTCACCTGATTTATTTACTTAGACTTAATTCCTTTCAACAAGTTTTGAAGCTTTAAGCTTAGCAAACTTGCGCATTTTCCTTCATAATTGTGTTTGTTTTTAAAAATTTATTTATGCTACTTGATTTACTAAAACAGCGAATTGTGAATATTCAAATTATAAAACTTATAAATTCTGTCCCTAGGAGAAAAACAATGGAAACTCTATTAAAGAGAGCGTTCTTAGTGACAAATTTCATCATCAGATTGTAATAATTAATGTCACATAATGTTGAAGGTATACTGAATAAGTGCAAACTAGGCATTATGTGATTAAGGATGAGCTCATAGACCTTCAAATAATGAAGTTTGCCCTATATGTAAATTCTGTGTGTGTGTGTGTTCCACACACATAAGTATTATTCCAACTATATTATCGTAGTTAGAGAAGACGAGTCAAAATGGTTCTTTTTCGAAAAACAGCCATATTTTAAGGAAAATCATGCTTTGGAAATACAGATTGAATGGAAATGTGTTACACTTTGTACTTTGCTGAAGTTAGTTGTTAAGAACTGATGGTAGATAATTCTCAGAAATTTTGAGAGCTCTTGGTAGTGATCATAGATAGATAAATATCATTAGATAACAAGACATTGATGTCAATAAAGAGGAAATGTAAAATGTCAGTTAATCCAAAGTAATTATTACAATAATGAATATGCTATATTTTAATTGTTCAAAATATTTTATTTTGGGAGGAAAGGCCATGAATTTAAGAATAATATTTCACAGTTCTTGGGGAGGGGAAACCAGTTTGGAGAACTCAATCACAGAGAATTTGGCAATAAGACTTCATATGGCTTAGAGAGGAAATAGATAAGATGTCACACTGTATATTTAAAATTATCATCTATAAAGTAAAATAAATATTTTTAATAGATTTCCTGACTTGCCACCAGCAAAATATATTCAGTCTTCTAGAATTGAACACAACCAAGCATCTGCTAGAACACTGAACGTATTTTTGGTGTGTGGAAAAGAAAATAAATCCTTAAAAAGCTTGATTCAGATTTTTTAACCTTTTATTTTAAACCACAGAATAAAAGTTTTGCATCTCTAAGTGAGAAATTTTTAGTCTGTGAAAGTAAGATGGTTTTTTGTTTCATAGTTATAATTTGTAGAAAATAACATGAAGAAGGATGAAGAATAGCTAACATCCAAATAGTATAATAACCTTATTACCCTGTCACAACACAAACCCATTTGCATTCATAGGATGGAGATTATAGAGTTACCCATTCTATGAACTATAATATACAATAATATACTCGCATCCAAGTTAATGTAGCTTATATATAAAGCAAGGCACTGAAAATGCCTAGATGCGTTCTTGAATCCATAAACAATAGGTTTGGTCCTGGCCTTTTTATTAATTGTTTGCAGAATTATACATGCAAGAATTCCCATGCCAGTGAAAATGCACTGTGCACCACATCTTAGGCTAAAAGGAGTGGGTATCAAGCACACTACAAAGTACCTCTCAACACCTTGCTTGGCCACAACCCCATGGGAGACAGCAGTAGTAAAAATTAAGCAATAAATGCAAGTTTGACTAAGTCATGAAACTACCAGGGTTGGTAAATTTTGTGCCAGCCACCGCGGTCATACAATTAACCCAAATTAATAAAACCCGGTGTAAAAGTGTTTTAGAAAGGCAAAAGTAAGTCTAAGCTTTATCCAAGTCATAGAAAACTCCAGATAAAAGTCTAAACCAAAAATGAAAGTAATCTTAATAAGTCTGAACATAGGAAAGGTAAGGCCCAGACTGGGATTAGATATCCCACTATGCTTAGCTGTAAACATAAAAACTTGCATAACAAAAGTTTTTGCCTGAGAACCACTAGCAAAAACTTAAAACTCAAAGGACTTGGCAGTGCTTTACACCCACCTAGAAGAGCCTGTTCTATAATTGATAAACCCC